ATAATTACTCAAAAACTAGCTCAAAAGCTTTCTTGAAAATCGATGTTTCCTTTCTTGTTCAAATGTGAAAACTTTTTAACTCTTGGGAATACTTAGTTCCCATATAATCTTTGAAGAAATGAACTTTACTCTTACTCTTTACTCAACTCCAAGTTTAAGTGTTAACAAAGTTAAAACGTTTGTAAAAGACTTTTTAAAATATGGTTCATGCCGAATTATGGACGTGAACGACTCAATGCAAGGTTTTCAATAACCGTAGATAGAACTCAATACTTGGAACTCAAGAACTTCAATGATACTATTCATTTCAAGAATGCTCAACTCAGAGGGTTCACGCGGAATTATGAGCATGAACTACTCAACTCAAGGACTCAAAGATACTTCTCATCTCAAGACTGTTCGACTTATAGGGTTCATGCGGAAATTATGGGCATGGACAATTCAACTCAAGGACTTCATGGGTAACATGTAATAGTCCCATGATTAGGAATATAATCTCAAAGGGGATCATGAACTCAATACTCAAGACTTAGAACTTGAAGATACTACTCATTCCAAAGGTACTCAACCGATGGATTTCATGCGAAAGTTATGGGCATGAAAGACTTGACTCAAGGGTCAAAATATCAATAAGGAACTTATGTATATAACTCTTATCATTCTCATACTTACTTACTCAAAACTTAACTCAAATCGATGGTGGATCTCAAAGGATCCACAATTCAACTCAAAGGCTTCCTTGAACTCTACTCTTAACTCTCTCTTGAATGTGAATTATGAATTCAAGAGTTATGGTTCATGATATGAAAGATCTCATGATGACAAAGTAGACTCATGAATACATTCTCCTCATCCTCATACTCACTTGCTTGAGTCTTGAAACAAGTTAATATAAGTTGTAGAAGACTCCTTAAAAAGACTCTAAGGGACTTTCTCAAAATGTTCGGAAAAACTCTCAAAACTTAACTCTTAGCTCTACCTTGAAGTTGATTTATGAATTCAAGGTTGTGATTTGTGATATGAAAGATCTCGTGATGTTTATAAGTGTCTTTAGATAGTTAAACATGAGAAACGATAAAAAAATCACTGTCTGGAAGCAAATCCGCGACGCGGAGATGTATTTAAATATTTGATCGTGAAATAACTTTTGAGGCAGAGGGGTACGTGACCTCTCCGCGACGTGAAGAAAAATTTTATGAAATGGGGAGGTAGGTCCACGACGCGGACTGGGTTGCCAGATTCGCCCGACTTTTTCCTTCTTCGTTTTCTAACCCCAATTCACCTAAATTCGATTCTTTTGCTCAACTTCTCTTTAGATTCAGATACCCATCACATGTACACTAGAATCTAACTCAAAACAACTCTACAAATCGACACAATAATCTCAAGAACTCCTCAATCTCATCCCAATTCAAGAACGAAAGCAAATTCAAGAACACATATCAACAACATTTAACTTTCAACTTTCTAGAACGAATTTAACGCTAAAATTAACACGATTGACGTGTGGGTGAACAATCCCAACACTATGGAAGCTTACATACATGAAAGAACCATCTTCTTGAAGAACTTGAAGGAAAATCTTGGAAGAAGAACCCTAGCCTTAGCGTTTCTTGAATTCCTTGAGCGCAGAATTTTTTCGAGTGGATGAAAGGGTTTGATTTAAGAAAACTGATTTTTCTACACGTTTAGGGCAATTTAGATGACCTCCTAAGGATTTTTAGGACTAAAATACCCCTAAAGAAATAAATAAAACGAGTTGGGAGTCGAAATAATTTTTCAGCAGGCAGTGAGGGCCGTATTGGCTCCGTAACGCAGAGCCATCGCGGAGCTGCTGCCAGGTTTGAGCGTCGTTAGTAAATCAATCATAACTTTTTACTCAGAGCTCTAAATTTAGCAAACTCGGTGGCGTTGGAAAGATAATTTAAATACCTTTCATTAGCTATCTTGTAGCCTACCTAAATCATCTTGTACTGAGAGTTATGGTCATTTGAAGTTGACCCAAAACTCATAACTTAAGCATAACTTGCAAAATTTCAGATTTTGCTATTTCCAATTTATTTCCTTTTGGAACTCAAGGTGCTATATCCAGTGGCGGAGGCAGCATGTAATGAGGGGGGTCATCCGACCCCCCTCGGCGAAAAATATTACTATTTATACATGGTTAAAATTATTTTTTAGGTATGTATAATAGATGTCGAACCCCCTTCCACTAGTTCGTGTGTTTACTTTTCAGATTTTTGAACCCCCTTATTAAATTTTCTGGCTCCGCCACTGGCTATATCTAGTGACCTTAACACTTGAGAATTTTTTAATTCCTTGGTAAAATTCTACTCGTAACGAAGTATGGTTTGAGTCTTAGCTCAAAAAATTTCTGGGGTGTTATAGTAAGGTACCTTAAACATCAAGCCAAGTTCAAAGCAATTCTATCAGTTAAGTTTTCATATTTGTTCATGCAAGGGTCAACTTCAAACGAACATATCTCTCAACATATAATGAATTATGTGATCCATGACCTATCAAATTAAAGGGCTATGAGTCTTCTTTCCAATGCAACCAAATTTTCATCATTTTAAGAATGGAGTAAAAAGTTATGAATGTTTTACCAGAGACTACCACAATAGATTTTTCAGAGTGAGTAACTACGAACCTCATTTACGGATCGTAAATGAAAGTATGACCTGTACTATCAACTTGTTAAACAAACTTTTAAAAGAAGTTTTTTTGGTCTCATTCTCACAGACTCAATTACGGGTTGTAAAATCATCTACATGCCGTAATTTGGGCCCATAGAATGACCTTCTGAGACTTCAAATTTTAGTCCGACTTCCACAGATGGGATCTACGACCCGTAGATCAAACCAAGGATTGTAGATGACCTCGTGGAAGGTTTCCGACAACTTCTTAATTGAGGTTGTTTTGATCTTTTTCTATTTTTTCTAAGCCTAAGTCACGATGTTTTAAATTCTATTAGGGGTATATATTCCATCAAGTACACAATTTTTTTTTATTTTCTATGCTCTCAATTCTCCAACTAAAAAAAACTGCAAGAAAGACAAAAGGCAGGATTTCAAGGTTTCCAATCAAATTCTTTTTTTTGAGCTTCGTTCTCTCAAGTATATAAGGCTTCAATGAGAGTATTCCTTCCTCTTATGCCTAAAGTATTATGATTCTCAAAAGTTTCAGAAGATTGTTAGAAGTAAAGTTAAGGGTTTTTTTTAATGAAATTATGATCTTTCTTCAATAAGCTATATTTTCATTGTTTCACTTTGGTTTTGAAACCTTATGGTACTGAATACTGATTTAGCATGATTTTTATTGTCAAACCCATATGAATTTTAAACATGAAAACAAGCATGCTATGAATTACAATCTAGATACAAGTTATTTTAAGATATAACTTTTGAGCTTAGCCTCATATATGATTCTAGATGATAAGTGATTTTCATACCTATGAGAATTATATAAATATATGTGTTTTGAGAGGACTATTTAGTATCGAGAGGGTGCGGGTTTAGAAAACCCAAGTCCCATAACTATGCGACAATGTAGAACTATGTTTTACCGCTTTGTCGTTTGACCTTCTGGTCTTGAGAGGCTCAGATTAGTGGATCCACATATGATAAGATATGATTTTATACTCTGGCAGGGCATTGGAAAGTCCATCTAATTGAGACTATAATTTGGGCGTCATGAGCTCAAATGACGCATATCAGTTATAAGAAACTCCCAAATTATGCATTTTTATTATATGTCAAGTCTATATGGTTCATTCTAAGTATGCTATGTTATGTATATGGTCATGTAAGGCTATTGGATTAGACTCATCCTTATATATGTTTTTAAACGAAGTTTAAATGATACTTGTGCATGAACTCCAACTGTTTTCTCTATAGTCCTTTCTTATGTTTATGATTTTGGAAACCTTATTTCATTGTTCCTACATATGCCTCAAAATATGATTATGTCAATGTTCTTTATATACTCAGTACATTTCACGCATTAACATATACTTTTTTCTGCGCTGCATCCTTTTATGATGTAGATTCAGTGGTTGTTCTCAGACTCGTGGCTAGTACAGTTACAACAATATTGGATAGCAGTTGGTAAATCCTTCTCATTCAGGGACTTCACGGATTACTCTTAGTTAGACTTAAGTTTGGTTCTTATAGTTTGTCATTGATTTTAAGGTAGCCAGAGGGCTATGTCACGACATACTTATATTTTTATTCTGACTAATAAAAGCTTATTTCAACCATTAGAAATATACCGTCGCCAACTACCAAAACACATCACCAATTATCTTTAACACCTCCAACGACTACTAACATTCAACCAACTTCATCGTTACAACCACCAACACCACTACTAATCTCCACCATTATGATAGTCATTGTAACAACAACCACCTCCACACAGAACTGTCATCACCATCATTACTAGCCACTAACAACAACTATTACCATCACCACTGCCACCACAAACTATCTCCACCATCACTAGCAAGTATATTAAATGTTCTATTTAAAAAAAAAATTCAAATAATGATTTTATTTGATTAATTATTTTAAATATTTAACTGATTTTTTATTTGAATTGTATATTTATTATGTCGATATAAATAATGTATGTATATTCAGATGTTGAAAAACAAACAGTCTTAATTATTCAGTGTTTAGATCTAGAGACAATATCTTAATTATTTAGATGCGTATTCAAATTCAGATGTCTAAATCATTATAAAAACAAATAAGGCCTAACTTCCTAAAAAAAGAGGAAAATGACTAGGTTGCACAAATCGCAAAACATCCATTACCATTACTTCACACCCTTACCACGTTACCCGACCACCCATCTTTTATACATATTTATCTATAACATATACAAATATTTTTTCTTATATACCGAATACAAAAAATAATTTTAAAAGTCACTCTTTTTTCTTCTAAAAAAAAACATTTTTCAACGGGAAAACATACCCAATGTAAAAGTATAAGTCCCCCAATAATAATTCGCCGCGACGCACACCTTCTTTTTTCAAAATCTGTTCGCGAGCGCGTGAGCACCGCAAATATCTCTCATCCTCCGCCCTCTCCTCGGTGCCATTGCCAACAGTTCGCTAACGTGCAAAGGTAATTCCACTCTCTCTCTCCCTCTCCCTCTCCTGAATCTAGAATTTGAAATCAGTGCATAATTTTTCCAAAATATATTTGATTAATTTTTATATGTAGTTTGGAGTTGATGGCAATGGATGGATTATGTAATTGCAATTGTTTCTATGCTAGATCTGCTTGTGAAACACTCCAATGCCGCTCCGTTATGTATATTTATGGATGAAATTTGAAGTTTTTTGCTTAATTGATTTCTGTGATTGATTGTGTGCAGAGAGGTGTGTGTGTGGATATTGAATTAATCGAAGTATTAGGTGATTAAGCATTGATTATTCAATGGCCGCACCACCGGCAAGGGCACGAGCAGATTACGATTACCTTATAAAGCTCCTCTTGATCGGCGACAGCGGTAAGTGATTTATGAGATTTTCCTCTCTCAATCCATTGATCTAATCACATATTGGTAAAATGTTGAGTTTTTCCTTGCAAGTAAAATGTGGATTTTTCCTGATTTTGGCTCTATTGAGGATCGTATTATTGACTTCTATATGAATCAAGCATTTATATCAAAAGCACAACTTTATGCTTATCAGATTTGGTCATTTTTCTGCGTTCTTCTCTGTGGAACTTTTCTATTCTCATGATCATGCAAATGATTAACTTCTAATGGCCTTGCCTACTATTTAGCTTGACCTTTTTTTTCCCCATTATTTGTGCCTGGGTGTGACTTGTTTTTGAAACATACAGAAGAGTATATGCTGCACCAACAGCGACTGCAGTAGGTTAATGCGGGATATTGATGTATGACTTGTCAAGTGACCAGGATATGGTATTGTTTCATTAATGTATATTTGGCTCGTGAGTGTAGTGGTCGGTATATACTACTTACTAGGTGAAACTAGGCTCATCAAGCAACAATATGAGCATGGTGGGGGATAATTCTGAGAGTCTTTGGAGTAGCTTGTCTCTTTTGTTGGCCAGTTTCTTTATTAGAAATGTCTATATCCTAAATAACATAATTATCTTCCTTATCAAAAAAAAAATAACATAATTATCTTGCTCCTTCTTATATGGATGATTCTAGTTATGATACTTTTGCCAACTCTATTTCAGTACTAAGTTCGTTCCTTATCACATAAGAAAGTTTTTCTACAGAGGGTAATAGAGAATTTGTGTTACAAGGCTAATCAGAAAAAGAAAGTAATCTTTCCCTAGAGGCAATGAAGAGATAAGGTTTTGTAGCCAATCAAGCAACATATTAGTTATCCCCTCTGTTTGAATTTGTTTCTCTTTTCCTTTTAGCCCGTTTAAAAAAGAACGCTCTTTCCTAATTTGACAACTCTTTAATTGTAAAATTCCACATGTCATGTTTATGACCACACAATTAAAGGGCATTTTGGTACATTATACATATCTTTGGTTAACAACCACAAGATTCAAAAATTTTCTTTACTTTCTTAAACTCTGTGCTCAGTTAAACTAAGACAAACAAATTGAAACGGAGGGAGTACTTTTCATAATGCAGTTCATCCTGAACCATGTTTAGATAGTATAAACTCCTTTATCTTATTTTTTTTTGGTAACTTTGTATTATATCACAAAAGTACATGGGTTGTACTCAAACCTTATATACAAATGCACTCCAGACACTCCTACTCTATTTCTATATTGAGTCCAAAACATCAACTATAGAAGCAGTGTCTTTTGAGTATAATTGATTACACCAAAAACATAACAACAAAATGCAGTTTAGTTTAACATCCTGCACACTATTTTCTATGCCTTCAAAACATCTGGAATTCCTTTCTTTATGTCTTAGATACATGAGTAGAGGATTATTCTTGGGTAGTCTGCAGTCTGCATGCCTAAAGGGATTTGTATTGTCAGCTTTTGTTTTCATCAACTGGTGCTTTTGAATCATTAAAAGAATATGGCATTAGTTATTGTGTGTGCTTGGACCGTAGAGTCTTAATTATTGCTTGGAGTTATATATTCTTCTGAAGGCAACTTTAGGTCCAGGAGTAGCATGCAGAAGTATGAGTTTCGGGTACGAGGGGTTCAATCAGCTTGATTATGAAGAGAATGAAAAGAAATGTGATTTTGGCTGGTTGCTTGATTTTGTTATTTTTAATCTCTTCGGTTTTTGGGCCACTTTTTGATGTATTAGCTGCTGTGGGTGCTCAGTTGAATTGTTGTAGTTTGGTTGTGCTCATTGATTCATTTTGGCAAGCATGTTTGATAACTTTGATTTCAGAACAGAGAGATGACTCACTCTATTAATTTGGACTTAAAATTAGTTCTGATGGGATCACAATTGACTATGATTAGCCCAATAGCCAGCCCGGGAGATAATCCATGTCGCTGGCAAATATTCTTCTGTGTAATCATTAGCATACATGCGTTGTTTGTTGCACCTGTTAGTTAGTTATACCCTTGATTACACAATTACACTGAGTTTTAGATGTTCCTTTATGTGAAGCTGAAACATGATTTATAGGAGGACCTACCAATGTGGCCAAATTATTTGTATTCGTATCTTTCTACTCCACTCAGAGCTGGAGATGTTAGTTGCTTGTCAAGAGTAGATGAAATATTTTACCACCTTTTTTATGATTAGCAGCAGTAGTAATTTCTCAAGAAGAGATTATTACTGCTATCATAAAAGGTGGTAAATATTTCATCTACTCCTGATGAGCAAAATCTGTCACCGGTTCAGTTAGCACTAACAATCTCACTCTGCTCCTCTTTGGTAACCACACAAGAACTTAGATCCTTTCCCTCAAAAGATTCTTGGAGACGTTTGGAGGAAAAGGGACTTTGAGAAAAAAAAATTCAAGAAACTTTTTGGATGTAAGTTGCTTGAGTTACCTTCTCAACCAAGCAGTCTTCTTTCACTCACATAATCCTCTCACCAAGTACATTTTTCATTTGCACAAACATTTTCCCATAAATATTTTTCCTGCAATAACCTTTTTCAGAATATTGTCCAGTCTGGGCAGGTTTCTATTATGATTCTTCTTCATCGTGATTGGAGATTATCTAATGTCTCTGCATTAAGTAGCACTATAGAAAAGGATGACTGAATTTTCTGCTGAAAATTGCTTCTTTGACGTGCACTCTACAGGTGTTGGTAAGAGTTGCCTTCTTTTGCGTTTTTCTGATGGTTCCTTTACCACAAACTTTATCACCACCATTGGGTTAGTTCTCTCCTTCTGGATGTTCTATACTTGGTATTACTTCTAAATTAAATGCTTCTCAAATTTGAATGACTGTTATTTTCCTGCCAGGATCGATTTTAAAATACGGACCATTGAGCTCGAAGGGAAACGGATCAAACTACAAATCTGGGATACGGCTGGTCAGGAACGGTTCCGAACAATCACCACTGGTAAGCTTTTACGTCTTTTAACCAATTTTTTTTTTTCATGATATAGAATAATGGTCATCATAACTGGAAATTTGTACAAAATAATCCCACTATAGCAGGAAGGAACTCTTCATTTGTTCTTTAATTGATGTGTGATGTTTTTGTCTTTAAAAAGCTTACTGTTTGTCATGTCATTGTCCCTTTTTGATTCATCCCTACAGATTAATGTGGTCCTTCATCCCCTGGCCTCACTAAGTACGGAGTTGATTATAATGTACCTCATGTATCAAGTTACTAGAAAGTTAAATAAGCTTGAGTATTCTCAAAAGAAAGAAAGCGATCAAGTTTGGAAAAGTTTATACATTTTCCTTTTCTTCATAACACTTAGGCTTGCTTTTTTCTTATAAAAATCATTTCATTTTAGATCCCTGCATTATGTTTTACCTGTGTACTTATTTGGCTCCTTTTTTGGGTTTACAATTTCTCCAGCTTACTATCGTGGAGCCATGGGTATATTGTTGGTTTATGACGTTACTGATGAATCTTCCTTTAACAGTAAGGTTCTTTCCCCTGGTATTCATGTCATTGAAGATTTAGTTCTTTATGAGCTCACCTTTGTTTTGACCCTGGTGAATTTTCTGGATGAGCCCAGATAACTGTCATCAGTTTCTTGTGCAGGAGAATACCTTTTTCTTTGTTTTTAAGAAATGGTTTGCTTTTCCCCTTGTGGATAGAATGTAATGTCTTGTACCTGTTTGCAGACATCACGAACTGGATTCGTAACATTGAGCAGCATGCTTCAGACAATGTCAACAAAATACTTGTAGGGAACAAGGCTGACATGGATGAAAGCAAGAGGGTAGGTTCTTGTTTGGCTCAACTATTTATCAGTCACCTTACATATCCCCCCTCCTATAAAGGAAAAAGAAAAAATGAGGGACGAAAAACATAAAAAATGCAAGACAACATAACCAAGAAAAACGTTAGGGCAGTAAAAAAATATGTTTGGATTTGTATTTCAATTAGTAAGCATGAGCCTCTCAAGTCTAATATTCTGCTGCATTGAACTTTTTGTAGGCTGTCCCTACCTCTAAGGGCCAAGCACTTGCCGATGAGTATGGTATCAAATTTTTTGAAACTGTAAGTATGGCATGAGAACCTATGGAAATAACTTCTGGTAGGTGTGCCTGTACTAAGAGATTGTTTCCATGCAGAGTGCAAAAACAAATCTTAACGTGGAACAAGTTTTCATGTCAATAGCAAAGGATATAAAGCAAAGGCTTTCAGACACAGACTCCAAAGCGGAGGTATACACTTGATCTAGTTTGGTTGAATTATTAGGAATTTCTCATACCCCATAACCTACTCAACAAAACAAAGGAGTTGTGCGGATTGGGGTGAGAACGGAAAAAGAATAGCAGATAAACTTTTTCCCCATAGATTGAAGGCTAATAGTTGTGATGTTGCAGCCTTCAACGATCAAAATTAATCAACCAGACGCAGGAGCTGGAGGTGGTCAACCTGGCCAAAAATCAGCTTGCTGTGGTTCATAAATGGACTGATCCCTACAAGGAGCAGGTGCACTCTTTGATCTCTAAACCACCGAGAAGAGCAAGCAAATGCTAATTTTGAAGGAAATATTTTTCGGGCTTGTAATATTTTTATTGTTCATTCTTTTGAAACTTGTGTTAAGAGTGTGAAGGATAGGTTGATTACCATTTGAGAAGTCAAAATTGTTACCAACACAGTTCCTGTTTCATTTTCTACTTCATTAGCTCAAGGATGTGAATGTGATAACTGATAACCTAACATTTTTCTCAAGTTTACATGTAAGAAATACTACTTCTATAATGGATATATGCAACTTCTTTTGTTGGCAGAGGGTTTCTGCTTAGGGTGTTGCAGGATTTGGATTAAAACTAAGTTACAGAAACTAACACATAATTATCTGAAAGGTAACCCCATAGTCATGAATAGGGATGGCAATGGGGCGGTGCGGGGTGAAGGCGGGGGCGGGTTGAACTTAACCCACAAAAAATTTAAGCCACCCCGCATAACTATTCTTTTCAATTTCAATCCGCCCACCCCGCCCCGCATAAACCCGCCCTGCATAAATTGCTTAATATTTTCCTTTTCTAGGTAAGTTTGATACTAAAAATAAAATTCATAAAAATAAATTTATTTTTTCATTAAGTTATATTAATTTAATAGATAATGACTTGAAATTTATTTTTTTAGAGATCAATTGGGAAGCTCTAAGAAATTGTATTAGTTTTGATTGAACCATTTTTATTTACTACTTCCTTTGTCACTAATTACTTGTCCACTTTTTCTTATGTATATTTTTCCACATGATAAAAATGAAAGGTAAGTAAGCTTACTTTTTCGCTTTTTGCTGAGGAAGCTAGGGAGAGGAGAAAATAATGGTAGATTTGTAGGGATTAGTCAAGTGCATGACATATTTGCTGTTTGAATCTGTTAGTTTTTTGACAGAAAACTAAGAGAGGGATGTAACTTGTAACTTTTAGGATAGTTCAAGGATGTTATTTATTAATTGTTATGATATAAGGATGTAATTTAAGTTTGGGTTATAATTGAGGGATGATTTTGGCCATTTATTCACTTTCGATAAGCTATATTGTATAGTCAGTGTATACTTTTTATGATTTTTGACTATTTTTTATGTAAGTAAAACATGACTTTATTTGTTATAAATAAATTAGTTTATTGTATATATTTGAAATTAGAGTGCACTCCTCTTCATAAAGAGTGTATAGAATTCACTCTATACCCATATTCCTGGAACAACTGTAAAATAAATCGTTTTCGATATAGAACTGGATAATCAAAACTGCATCGCTTTGTTTTAATCGAGTGATGATATGCTGAAACGGGTGCTAGCTTGAAAACCGCCGCAGAACGAAGCAAGGTTATCGGTTGAGGCTTCACTGGGATTTCATAAATCAATCTTTCAACAATCAGTATTTTTTATGAATAGGACACTGAAGTAAAATTTATAACGGTAAAAAGGAAGAGGTTTCTGTTGGAGGATCCCGACGCCCCGATTCAAATGGAAGCCCTTTAACAAATCAAGTAAAATCTGAAAGCTGAACTAAATCACAGTTCGGGAAAAATGATAAAGGCTAATGATAAGTAATGACATAAATAATAATTTTATTTTTGTATAGATATTTTAGATATCAAACAATATTATTTGGGGATGAATAAATAAATTTAATAAATATGCCGACTTAAGAGCAGTGCCAAATCATATTCTCATAGATGCCATATACTATTAGCATATGCTCGGCCACCCAACTTATAACCGGAGAAACCAAAATATATTTAATAGAAAAAATTTTCAAAGTTTGTTCTTTCTCATTTTTTAATAAAAAAACATACGTAATATTTCAAACATAAAAAAATTAATTTATTAATAATTTTTTTTTGTCACATTAAGATATTCTTAAAACACATAATTTTAAATATATCATAATATACTAAAAGGTATCATTTTAGATAAAATTGAATGTTTTGTACTTTTTTTCCACTTTCCAAACATAGAGAAATTTCATTTTCTTAAAATAAATTTTAAAATAAATATTATACAAAATGAAATAGGGAGAATAGTGAATTCAAAATCTGTAAATTTTCAATCCTAATGGTCAATAAAATAATTGAGCGCTATGAGGACGTAGGTTTAAATATTTTCAGCGAAGATAACAATATATTATATTTCTTTTCATCTGTCATAGTTTTTATAAACGAAATTACCTGAAATTTGTTGTTGATAGGAGGTGACAAGTATGTCATGAAATTAGTCCAAGTGCACGAAAATTGATTCCGACAATCATAAAATGATTGGTGATAAAAGAATATTAGGTGATTCTTTCCATCTGTCATAAAGACAAAATACCTACATATTATTAATGAAAATATCAGTATTCTGTAAAGTAAATCGAGATGCGCAAAAATTAATCGAGCACTATAATAACAAAAAAAGATAACTTTTTGAGTAGATAATGATTGGTGAGTGATATAGTATTTTGTTATTGCTTTGTCATATCTAAAATTGTGGAAAGTGGTGAATGATATATAGTATTGGCATTGCTTTGTCATATCATGAAAAATGCTTGCCCATTTATGTATAATATTTTTTTTACTAAAAATATATAAGTACATTAATTTCTTAGTGGAATTATCATAAAAGTGGTGACATCCACGTCAATAAGTTCATCTTTTCTTGGGCCAAGTTTTTCTAGAGCCGCAGAAGCCACCACTAAACTTTGCCACTTAAAGGAGTCACCATCTATTTAAATTCTCACTATATGTGTGGCACTATTTTGACCCTTTCAATAGTAATTACTATTCAAGGAAGGATTGTTGGGTAGTTGGTTAGTGTTATGCAAATATTAGTAATATAGAAATTAGTTATAAAGACAATTATATATGTATAAGTAATTATGCAGAGTTTAAATTAGGCATAATATATAAATATGTCATTTAACTTGGTTTTAACTCACATTTATGTCCTTCAATTTTGGATGTTTATAAGTTGATACTTAAATCTGTATTAAGTTGAACAAATAGACACACACATCCTACGTGGCATCCTACATGATAATTTTCATTCTATGTGGTGTCTTATGTGTATTATGCCACGTAGGACTCATGTGTCTACTTGTTCAGCTTTATACAAGTTGAAGTGTCTACTTGTAAACATACAAAAATATGAATCAGGTTGCTCACTGTCTTGCTAGAGCCTCTATTTCTATGTCTGGTTCGATGGAGTGGGATACTAACCCTCCATTTCTCATTACTGATGTACTCATTTTTTTATTTGAATAATACATAATAAAAGATCCATTTTTTTAAAAGAAAACTTATACATATATTAGTTATGTGAGGTTCTAAAATATTACAAACTAAATACCATATTAATTCTATACATGAATAACTTACATCCAAACCACCTATCAAACATGGTATAAGGGATTATTTGGATACCAATCGGTTATTTTAAAAACTTTCTATTATAAGACATGCTATTTATACCATTCATTCGCTATCAGAATCAGTTGTGCTCTTTCAAACTTTACGGTATGTATGGACGGATTCCTCATTTCATCTCTATGTGTAAAAGACACTAGCCATACTTAAAAAGCCGAGTACATCGAAAATTCATTTTTTTTTTTATAACTAATACATATATAAGTTATGATGATTTATGTGCTATTTTTTGGAAAAGGCATATATACTCTCAACCTATGATCGAAGTTTCAGAGACACACCTTATCTTTAAGAATACCCCGACCTAATATCTTTTTTTCTTTAAATTTCTTTGCATGTTATTTGCTGACGACGTGGACTTGAATATCAACTTAAAAACTTCAACAACCTTCAAATCTATTCATCACACCTCCAATAGCTTTTAAATTTATACAAGAACTATAATGATTGTCCTTTTCCTCATCTTGATATTTGGATTTGGTTGAATATATTAGATTTTAAAATTAAAAATATAAAGGGAAGAAAAAAAAAGTATATTTTAAAGAAATTAAAAGAAAATGTGATATTACACATGACAGTATGTGTATTTCTCTGCCTATCAAGAATTGGTTCTTCATGGTACCCACAGTTGGGGGTATTTAGCAGCTAAGTTATTTATGTATTAATTTCTGAATAGGTTATATAGTGTTTGACAACTAATTAGGAAATAAGTTATTTATGTAAAATTAATGTGATGTTTGATTTGCAATGTAAAAAATCACATAATTAATATATGTATAAGTTATGTGAAAATTAAAGTATTATCTTTATTCAGGTTAGAATATGAAATAACTAATACCTGCATAAATAAAACCACATAACTAATACGTAAATAATTCTAATTACAAACAACCAAATAATGATTCCTTAATTAAGGTGGTAATTATTTCATTTCAAAATAGTATAGGGAGATAATAGGCCCCATAGAGATAAAACGTGTCACTGGATTTCCGAGTATAGCTCACAGGATTGGAGTTCTTTTGCCTTTTCTCTATTCTTTTATGCAAGGCAGAAGATGAAATAACTAAACAATATATAACTAAAATATGCATAACTAATTCCTACTTACACAATTAATCTATACGTAATTACTAATGTCTACATAACTCTAACTATCAACACAACGACCCCAAAGGATTTTATTTTTTTACCTTAAATGTTTGTATTTCACATTGAGCTTTAAGTTCCTAGACATAAACAACATATCCCGTATAGTCATAATAAGAACTAGAAATATTTCAAAAAATGCTGGAATATTTAACATTAGACCTGAAGTAATTGTACCAACATAATAAGAATTTTAATTCAAACTAGTTGTTAAATCTTTTTCTTAGTCTGTATTCGTTGGTTTTGCATAAAAAGAATTATAAATTTGTGAAACAACATTTTCAATGTGATTTTAGCAAACTGAATGAAATGACGCCATATCCCACTTCTAGATTTCTTTAATCTTATTATCATTTTGTATTTAGTAAATGCCTAGCGTAATCATGTTTGGTGTCTAACTAGTAGTAAAGTATATAATATGTTGAGGTTGATAATCACTTCTTCAAACTTTAGTTAAATAAAATTTGTCTTTTTAATTAAAAAAGTTCGGTTAAGTAAGAATATGGAAAGATTACATCTAATAGTAAATGACGCATGCAATGAAGTGTTTCGACTTAATTTATGCTCCGAGCACAAAATATCTCATTGTATTTTAGAGGATATGCACATTTGTTAGAAAAATCTATAAGGTGATTAACACATCACGGGTGTGATCTAGTGGTCAATGAAGTGGTTGAGAGTCTGAGGTTTCAGATTCAAAACTCAGTGGAGACAAAAAAATAGTA